GTAATTAGACTTAGAGAAAAGTTCTCAAAGAAGGAGTTAACACTACCTCAAGCACTGCACACCAGCGGTCTTCCGTGTCCCCCGTCATAGTAGCTAACAGAATTACCACTACAACTGCTCCAGGGAGTCACTGAGTGGGTTATCAAGTGCCAAAGGCTCCCTAACGAAAAGACGAACAAATAAAATTATTTATGGCCAGATAATTACAGTAAGGTAGAAAACTCGCACACAGGGAACGAAGGATCGAATTATCACCACTTCTTGATCTGAATAACTCATACGGGATAGCGCTTCCCATAAATATTTGATATTGTAACACTGGACTGTCTACAAGGAGACTGAGGACTGCAATAAGAGAAGAACTGTACAATATGAAAACTGCAACAATAAGATAAGAATTGCAACAATACGAGAAGTATTGCAAAAATACGAGATCTGCAACAATATGAGAAGAATTCCAACAGAATTTCAAAGAACCGAAACTTTCGAAGTGGATAGTTAGTCCAATTCGACCATATCATTCACAACTGTTTGCATACTTACAATTGTTTCTCAACATCAGAGCACCAATGCCAACAGACTGACTGGTCAGAGACCGGGACGAGATTGTCAAGACGGAAGATCGAGTCTCCACCACCTCCCTGCGTTCAGTGACCTACGCAGGTTTAGTACTTCATGAAATGCAACAACATTCCATGAGTAAATCACCAGTACCCCCACTTGTTGACTTTGTTCTGACCTCTTCCCTAACACGCATCCTCACTGCTTCCCGTCCTTCTTTCCTTAGTACCCATTTCATGCCTAGCCCCTTTCTTTACAATCTTATACCCATTTCCCGATTCTCACCCACTCCAGCTGGTCCTCCACGCCTCCTCCATGTGCTCCACCGGAGTCTCCTGCAGGTGCTCCATCAGCGCTTCCTCCAGGTGGCCCTCTACACCACCTGAAGGTGCTCCACCCACGCCTCCTTCAGAGAGTATCAATAAAGCAGGGAGGAAGGTCTATGGCGAGAGGCTGAGTAATGAGACTCTTCTCACTTTCCCTCTGCTGGCTGACACGTCCAGACGTCGCTCACAAAAGCCGCCACAAGGACCGCACGCTCTCAAAAGACCCACCTATAAAAACCAGCAAAGCGAAGTGATAGGGAAGGAGGGAAGAAGAGACGGGGGAGGTAACATTCTCAAAAAACTCTAATTCTCATCTCCACCAAACTACGAGGCTTGGTTTCAGACTGGGCCGCGGGGACGTTGACCCCCGAAACTCTCTCCAAGTATACTCCAGGTATACATTCCTCTCCCTTCCAGGATAAATCTGGTTGAAAATGGTAAACTCTCCCAACTGATTGATAAATGACAAGCTCTTGCAACTGAGTGGCACATGGCAAGATTTTATCAAGCTTTTTTTTTTATCTGATTCACGTATGACAAGTTTTTTTTTATTAGACTGACACATGGCAAAAGTTTTTTTTGTCTAAATGACACATGACAAGCTTCTTGATTGACACATGGAAGGATTTTTACGTATCAGACATATGGTAAGTTTTATCTGATCGATACATGGCAAGTTTTCTTTTTTTTTACCTAATTGACAAATGTCAAGTTTTGGCACATGACAAGCTCTTTATCTGAAAGATACATGGTATGTGAACATGACTTGTATAACAAACATGACGTACAGCGAATATGAAGTATAAAGAACATGACTTGTAAAACGAACGTAAGTTGTATAGCGAACATGTCTTGTAGAGTCATCATGACTTACCTAACGAACATGTCTTGTATAGTGAAAGTGACTTGTATAGCGAACATGACTTGTCCAGAGTGCATTACGAACAAATTATCAGATCCTTTAAGTGCGGATTAGCACAAGAAATCAAGCATTATGTGTCTCAATTTTCCTTGGACCTGTTTACCCCTTCCTCGGATCAAACCCAGTTGTCTCCCATTCCCCAGGCAATAAATAACTCCTACGGATTTAGCGCATCCCAATAAACATATCTCAATTCAATATATTCCAACTACTTTTTAATGCAGTTTAATATATTTATACATATGCCTTTCAGGGCAAGAGGGGTTTGCCTTGATGACAGTGAAGGGCTCTTGACCCATGGAATTAGAGCTATTCTTCCCTTTCTCAGGCTTCTTCACATTACACACGCATCATATGACCCCTATGGGCTTTAACGAGCCCCAACAGACACAATAATAATAATAATAATAATAATAATAATAATATAATAATAATAATAATAATAATTCACAACAAATACAATACACATAAACCGGAAAACCTTATCTTATTTCTCTTATTATTACTATTATTATTATTAAACCGCTGTTTTGTGAATTATTTTCTCGCAATATATGTAAAAACGAGAGAGAGAGAGAGAGAGAGAGAGAGAGAGAGAGAATGACAGAATATTTGCCCTTGGCGGTGAACCACAGGCACAGAATACAAAAAGAAGTGCTTGCACCCTAGCTCAGCATAGGACCAGATCTCTTAAATCTCATGAATATAAACTGTTGTATTATAAGTGGACGGGGGAGGGGGGGAGGGGGGGGAAGGAGAGTGGTTGGGAGGGAGGGGAGGTGGTGGGTGGGTGGTCAGGATGTGAGCTTTACGGAAAGTGCTCACAGAGGCCACAGAACTTCTTGAGCTCGAGGTCCGACCACCTCAAGTTACGAGACAACACAATCTTATCCTCAACTTAAGCTCCCGTGTTTAATTATCTGTCATGGCAGAAGGCAGGACAGGGCTTAGCCACTCCCCCAAATTATCGCTACAGTACTCGACCCTCCCTAACCTGCACGATAAATTGTTTAAAGCCATGACAATTATTCCTGTGGTGGGAGGGTGAGGCGTTGGCGTTGCAGTCTGCTTGCCTTGCGGAAACGATGTTGGGTTGCACTTGTCTGCCCGCTATCACTTTCTGTGAGGAAGGAAAAAACAAATAGAGAACAAACTTTTACTGTAACAACGCTCTATGTAAAGCTCTATACAGAGCGAAACGCTGTCACAATAACAATTTGCCCTGTACCTGTGCATTTTCTTCATTACTCACGGCAGTACGCTGCTATATCCATCACTTTAAGCCTTCCAAACGAACTTGCCTAATTGAAACCCCACTAATTCGAAACACAACTAGACGACGTTTCGGTCCGTCCTAAATTTTACCGACTTGTGCTAAAAAAAAAATGGGTCTATTATCGTCCTTTTGCATGTCTTCCTTACACATTTCCTTGGGTGTAGTGTTTTGCTCGCAAGAACGGGATAGTGTCTCCTAACATGTGTCTTATTCGCATGACCCGTTCAGTGGTTGCACATCCACTGGGGCTAGGCTTTACACACCATTAAGGACTTGTTTCCTTAAGGCACCTGCTGTCCATGTTCACCTATCAGTAAAAGAGGTACCTGGGTGTTAGTCGATTGGTGTGGGTCGCATCCTGGGGACAAAACACTTAATTTTCCCGAAATGCTCTGCATAACAAGGGGCATTCTATATAGTAGTATGCCACTGATGTCAGCTAGGCATGTATACCTTGTACATGTACTTGTAAATTAAAGATTATTATTAAGGGTCACCATATTGTAGTTTTGTTAGATGGCTTTCCTAAGCCCTTTCTCGGACATACTGGGTGAGGTTCTGCTGTTATTTTAACCAGTGTTCTGTCTTCAGCACTTGGTAAAGATCTTGAGCTTACGTTGTTTCATGTGTCTTCCTCATCTACTTGTCGGCTCGTTGCATCTTCATTTGCGGATGACAGGTTAAGCCTAAATGAGAGAATGGTGAGCTAAAAAAAAGCCATATAAATTACTCGAGAACTAAGTGTGAGAGGGAGTGACATATGGGAAAACTAAGACGGAAGGTGAAGGCGGAATGTACAGATATAAGTTCAAAAGTAGTTGGAGCGTGGCAAGAGAGGCTTGCCGGCAAGTGGTCGGGTGTTCCCAAGGGTGCAATATGAACAGACGAGTGGCTTCTATCCCCCCATGTGTCTTCTCAAGCGCCCCCACAGACTACTACTCTCCATTGCTGCCCCAATGCTACTCTATACATCAGTGTCCAAAGGCTTCGATAAGAAAATTGATGGGGGCTCAATAACTCTGCGCCTTGCACCCCGCTGCCTGGTGGAAGCCATCTGGAGGAAGCAGTACTGCCGGACAGTACCAGATGGTCCAGACTATACTATGCCCAAAGACCCATCCTCCTTGATAACCATCTGCTACAACGGCTTCCCTTTTACGGCTCCCTAAGATGATCATTCAGAATCGTAATATACCCAAGGCACCAACGACAATCTCTGATGCGTTCCCTCTCTGCACTGTGAAATTGGTATCTTAATCCTCATTTATAAATTTAAACTGGTTTTCACACTGCCACACTGAAGAAATACTCACTACAACCTTATCTTTCATTTTTCAGTTTGCAAAGTGTATGCCAAATTCGAACTCCATGATTTCTCAGCGATCTTGTGTTATTATACCTGACTGACTAGTGCTTACCTCAGCTGTGTACCCCATATTGTCGCAACTCAGGTAAACTGTGCTCAAACCTACTACACACACTAAAATGCATCAATTCCTTAGGCTTAATTTCTTATATATATATATATATATATTATATATATATATATATATATATATATATATATATATATATATATATATATATGTATATATATATATATATATATATATATATATATATATATATATATATATATATATATATATATATATATAGTTACTGCAGGAAAATGCGTCACATTTCGAGTAAATATCTTAAACTTTTTTGTAACATATTGTATCAATGTATAAAAATGTATAATTAATTGTATTGCTGCCAACCCCGACAGCATCTAGTTCCAAGGCCTTAATGTCTCGTGCTACCATCCGCAGGAAGGATATGAGCTGCATATTATTATATTCACAAAATACTGGGTGCACAATAAACTAGCAGCTACAGCGGCAAAAAATAAAATTAATTAAGAGGAACTGACCTTTTCTCGAGGGAGCACCAGCCGCAGTAGGGGTCCCGGGCCCCCAGGCACGAAGAACAGTTTGTGTAGGAGGCGCAGCTTTCCACACGGTACTTCGTCACCTGTAAACAAAACCAAAATAAGTATTAGACATAATACAAACGGAGTGTATATACTAAAAAGTTGTCGTGTCTCAGTGTACATACAGTGAGAGTTTACTCCATTTCCTGCTTTAGATGTTAAAATATCCTTATAGGGATTAAAATATTCTTGACTGGTGGAGCCTTAATTAATGACTCGTGATCGATAGGTTATACAGAACCTAATAAACCAACAAAGCAAAATACAACCCGAGAGTTCACACTTCTGTGAATCCAAGTTAGTTAGGCTTAAAGTATATATTTCATACGGTTGTACATCCCAGGAACATTAATATAAAAAAAATACTTTAATCCATATAAACTATTATTATATTCACGAGGAAGCGTCTGTCCCATTTTATCATACAACATTTGAGGAACGGGAGGAAATCAGGTTTCGTCAGAGAAAGAAAAGGGTAGTTGCAATTCCTAAGATAAAGAGTCCTTCAAGGCACCCCATCCCCCTACCTTGTTGTGATAATTACGTATAATATATGACCACTTCAACCTGAGTACTGCCTTTCTTTTATTTATTTTTTACCTGTCACCCGCATTGGGGACAAATGTTCCTCAAAAAATGTAGCCAAATAGATCAGACACACAGCAAGCTGTACATGCTTTCGTAATGTCCCTCTTGACCTGAGCAGTTCTTGGATATACAAGAACATTATGCCTGATCAAGGACGGGAGGCTTGGTCAAGGACTGGGCCGCGGGAGGCGTTGACCCCGAAACACCGTCCAGGTAGACAAGCTGCTGTTGGAACAACGTTTCCCTCTGAGAAGAGCTTGATAAAGTGAGCGAGACGTTGTCTCAATAAAAGCCTGTTCTGCATACTTTCTTGAAAATATCGGTTGCAGTTGTGTGCAGGTGACCTGTGACTGACGAAGCCGACTGATCCTGCCGCTTCATGGAGCTGTTTATGTGAGGGAGGCTCACCAGCGCTGCCGTGGAAGTAGTAAAGGCTACGTAATGGGATAATGACTCAATTCGCGGCGACGAGCACCCACATTACAGTACGCGAATGTCTCTGCGCGGAAAATAAAGACTCACGGTGTATTTGCAGTGTGTAAGAAGAGCAGTGGTGAGGACTGACAACCTCCTCTAATGACTCCCGCTGTTTCTTACATGTTAAAAAATGCACCACAAGTAAATAATAATAACGAAGGTGCTGGGGTGAAGGAAGAGCCGAGCTCTGGGATCAGTAAGGTGAGCCCCGGAAACCACAAGGGCACAGCACTGCCTGGAGATTGACTCACGTCAAGGGAAGCAGCAGCAACAACTGGCCGTAGAACCATTACCACGTCTCAGGTCCTGGTAACGCAACAACATCGCAGCTGGTACTACCGCCGTGTCGAAGCCACATGCTGGGCCACAGTCATGTCGCAGCCACGGAAATCCCCTCGACACAGCTGCAGCAAAACCGCACCTGCATCTAACCGCACCACAGCACCTAAGCTTCAACTAGCACTAATCGCCACCCAAGCTAATCACTTAATGACTCAATCACCACGCTCCACCACCCACATCCTCTACTCTGCACTTCCATGCCCTGCCTACCGTAACATGTACCATGCCTTCCTACAGTAGCGTGCTCCATGCCTTCCCTGCAGTACCGAACACCATGTCTTTCTGCAGTAGTGTGCTCCATGCCTTTCCTGCAGTACCATGCACCCAGTCCTCGCTAATCACACGAGAGGGTAAAAACAACACCCAAAATTAACACACTACCAACTCTCTCCGGGGCTTCACCCCCTAAGACACGGTTGTGAGATCAAGTCTTCTCAGGTGACACCTGTGAACGATTTCGAGGGTTCTAGCCTCGCAGCCCAGCTCGAAGCCAGCCTTAAATAAATGTTGACTGAGCATCCAGGTTGTTGCTGTTAGTTCCTTGCTGACTCACGAGGCTAATCCGACACTTAAACGAAGTACTGATCCAGTTTCCTTTTGAAAATTTCTAGATGTATACAGACAAAATGCTTTCTACAGTCCCCTTTATTCACACAAAAGCGAAGAATAATCTCCATTTGATTTTGTATATGTTGTAACTCCTACTAGTTTTGCGCTTCCTCGTGTATATACAACTAATTCTTGTCATGTGTCATAAATCGTGGGAAGGAAGAATAAAAAAATCCATTAGGTTGTAAGACAGAAAGAACCTAACGAGATTATTATTATTAATATTATTATTATGACAATTATCATTATTAATTCTTGGGGATGCATTAAACCCGTTGTAGTTATGCAACAAGTCGAGGATTTGAGTCGGTCAGCCTTGATCCAAGAAAGGAAAGAGTAGCATCGAGTCCTTGGATGACGAGCCATCCAACAGCATCACCATGCCTCTAGAGGGATTCAAACAAGTCTTATTTCACCGTTTTACTGTATCATATCAAAACAATGCTTATTTTAGCCGAGATATTTGACTAGGCCTGGTCACAGACCGGGCCGCGGGGGCGTTGACCCCCGAAACTCTCTCCAGGTAAACTCCAGTTGCCTGGTTGACCAGGCCAGTAGTAGACAAGCCTGGTCCAGGGCCGGGAGTAGCAAACTCTGGAATCCCATCAAAGGCAACTGTAGGGCAAACCTGGCCCGAGCGTATTAATGCGTATTTGTGGAAGGCACATGTATTCTCGTATATTTGTATTTTTTCTATTGTTCTTGTATACATATTTGAATTTTCGAAGTATTGTATTCTCGTATTATTGTTCTATCCTTGTAATATGCCTATATACTTGCATTTCTTGCATTCTCTTATCGATCTTGTATTCTTGTATTGTGCTTGCATGTTTGTATTCTTGAAATGTTCTTGCATTCCTGTAAATTTGTTGTGTTCTGTATACTTATTTATCAGTAATTTGTCTTGCATTGCTCACAAATATACGCATTATTGTATTATTCTTGAATTTTTGCAACAGAACAATACAATAATACATTCTTGTGTTATTTCTGATGTCTGCAGAACTTAGAACACTAATATAGATACTCATAAATTACAAGTAATCAGGGTGCTAATAAATGAGGTCCGCTTTAGAGAGAAACCTTTAACTATGCTTATAATATTTAGTATAAGCGTTCAAATTGCTAATAGACAGGATCAATTAATAACGATACGCGGTTGATTCCTAATGTATCGTGGTGCCTATTAACAAGCTATTAATATTCAGCCAGTAACGCCGCTATAAACACAACTATGATGCACGCGTTTAATTAATATAGTCTAATGCCCATTCGTCGGGCTATTTTCCCTTCTTCATAACTAGATAAGTTGAAGAGCAAGGTTTTGTCCAGACAACGTTTCACTCCGTGTAAAGTTTAGCACAGCGAAATTTTGTCTCGTGTATTTGCTGGCATTTACACCATTTCATCCATTCGCTGCGTGTGTTCTGGTGGCCTGGTGGTTAACGCTCTCGCTTCACACGGTGAGGGCCTGGGTTCGATTCCCAGCCAGAGTAGAAACATTGGACGTGTTTCTTTCCACCTGTTGTCTATGTTCCCCATCAGTAAAATGGGTACTTGGGTGTTAGTCGACTGGTGTGGGTCGCATCCTGGGACACTGACCTAAGGAGGCCTGGTCACAGACCGGGCCGCGGGGGCGTTGACCCCCGAAACTCTCTCCAGGTAACTCCACAGTGAACACACAGGTTTATCAATGTTGCAAAGCATAGTCTTGATTTATCACTGCGACACAGCAGTCTTCGATTTTGTTACAGTAAGGTTGAACACGAGTACCACTGAGGAACTTCGCACTAAATACCATTCAGTTTGCAGGTGACGAATATAGGTTTGCACTGGTCGAATATCGGAACCCTAAAGTTTACAGAATGGGAAAATGGTAGCTGGTGGTAAGTTGGCTCGTAGCATGAAGGAAGGAAACCACAAACTGCACAACGGGATCGCGGCTTTGCCTGGAGCAACGCAGGATATGAGGAGGCTGGGAAGTCGGTGATGAAGACATCACGGGAAGGCTGAGTGGGCCTCATTACCATACACAAATAACTCGCATACAGGAGAGAGGAGCTTATGACGACGTTTCGGTCCAACTTGGACCATTTACAAAGTCACAATGTGTGACCATGTAAATGGTCCAAGTCGGACAAAAACTTGGTCGTAAGCTCCTCTCTCTCTCTCTCTCTCTCTCTCTCTCTCTCTCTCTCTCTCTCTCTCTCTCTCTCTCTCTCTCTCTCTCTCTCTCTCTCTCTCACTCCTATGTGCGGATTATTTGTGCACTGTTCCAGTCACGGTATTGTGCCTTTTTCTCCTTAATTACCATATACCTGACAGCGTGTCTGCCGTCGTCTTTACGAGTCAAGATCCCTCTGACACCTTCCAAGGAAGACCAGTTTAAGAAGATACAACTTACAAATACAAAATACATTAGTAATAATGGTAGAATTACCGACAATATGTTAGGTAAAAGGACACAAGTGCGACTAATGTGACATTTTATTGTGGCAACGTTTCGCTCTCCAGGAGCTTTATCAAGCCGTTATGGGACAATAAAATGTCACATTTGTTGCATCCGTGTCCTTTTACCCAACATTTTGGTCGGTAATCTACCATTATTACTGTGGAAGTTATTCCTTAAAATAATGACATATAGCAAAGAGATGGATGGAGATGGACGCTTCTCAAGGTTGATGGATTGATCACATCTTTACCTCTCCACTTGTTCTGCTGTCTCTAATTTTAGTCGCCTTTGTATTCGACTCAAACTCATCAAAAGGTAAAAGACTGAAGCCGTGTTATGGATTGACAAAGCTCCTGGAGAACGAAACGTTGCCACAATAAAATGTCACATTAGTTGCATGTATGTCCATTTACCTAACACAAAATGTTAGTTGAGGAGGCAGCTTACCAAGAGAATACACATTAGTTTAGGATACGACTCATAGAGTAAACATTAGTTTCAATAGACACTAACTTGAGAATATGAACATGAATGAGATGAAATTCTACCGCTTAATTTTCTGAGCCTCAGACT